CTACTTCCGTAGTGATACTGCCTCGGAAACCCAAGGAGGGGTCGCTATGAGTCGGGTTTGACTCGACGGCACATAACAACAACAACAACAACTCCCCCACACATACTCTGACTCCAAGATGGCCTCACCACCTTCTCTCCCGAGGGACGAGAAACATCTCTGAGAGTCTGAAGATGGTTGTGGAGTTTCTCTCACAGAACTCAACAGACAAGTAATAATGATAATGACATTGACCACAACAACCCAAACTAAGATTTTCTATTTTTCTACGATCTTTTCCTCTCTCTTGCTTTCTCTCATGAACCTCATGAAAAATGACTTTGAGATCTCCACGGATTCAACAGTGCCTGTACCTGTGAAGTGTGTGGTGTGAAATGAGGGCGTACTCTTGGAAAAATAACCATTAAATTAGAAGATCAGAGAAGAACGCCTTGGTGGGGTGTGGACACGTTGGTCAAAGCCATTCCCACGTTTCAGGTTCTTCCAAAACACTTCCTTGTTTTCCTCCCACAATTTCTACATAAGCAATTCAATGGCATCACTGATACAGTTCATGTTGTATAATCACACTTGTCATCCTTTTCCAACCGTTCCACCTCCATCAACATGAACTCAATAGCCTCAGAGCACAAGTCTCCTTCCCTCCTCCCTCCCACTCCTGGTAACCCCTAATTATCTTTGGTTTCTAAGCATTTGCTTATTTCATATAAGTGAGAGCTCAAAGAATTTGTCCTTCTGTTCCTAACTTACTGTGCTCAGCATAACGTTTTCAAAGTTCATCCATGTTGTGCCATACATCAGGACTTTATTTCTCTTTATCACCGTTCAATACGCTACTGTTTGTATGTAATGACATTTTGTGTATCCATTCATCTGCTGACAGGCATTTCTGTTGTTTCCACCTTTTGGCTGTTGTGAAAAGTGCTGCCATGAACATTGGTGTCTAGGTTTTTGTTTGTGTTCCTGTCTTTACTTCTTTTAGATGCACACTTAGGATTCAGATTGCTGGGTCAGATGTAGTTCTATGTTCAACTTCTTGAGGAACTGCTAACTGTTTTCCATAATGGCGGCTCCATTTGACATTCCTATCAGCAGTGGGTAAGGGAGGGTTCCTGTTTCTCCACAACTTGGCCAACACTTGTGATTTTCTATTTTCCTATTTATTTTTTTGGCACTGCCACTCTAATGGGAACCAGTCTCCTTTCTGCCCAACATTATTCCAGCTGAATTACTAAACGTACTGAAAATCAGTTCCCTGACTACAGAAGTCTGTTTTACCTGAATAACATCAGCTGCATTTTTGTGGTGGTTGGTGTTGGGTGCCGTTGAGTGGGTCTGACTCACAGCAACTCCACTTACAACAGAAAAAAACACTGCCTGGTCCTTGTCAGCCTCGTGGTTGTTGTTATGTTTGAGCCTATGGTTACAGCCACAGTGTCAATCCATCGTGTTGAGGGTCTTCCTCTTTCTTGCTGACCCTCCATGATGTCCTCCTCCCAGGACTGGTCCCTCTTGGTAATATACCCAAAGTACATGAGACAAAGTCTTACCATCCTGGCTCCTAGGAGCATTCGGGATGCACTTCTTCCCACCGTTCATCTGTTTGGTGGACTGTCATGGCTTCCATGTTGCTGGGATGTTGGCAGCTATGCCACTAGTGCTTCGAATATGAGCAGGTGGACAGATTTCAGCGGAGCTTCCAGACTCAGACAGACTAGGAAGAATGATCTGGAGCTCAGCCTCAGAAAACATGAGTCAGTGAAACCTCATCAGCTGAACCTTGTGGTTGTTGTTCTGTGCTGTCAAGTCGGACCCGACTCATAGCCAACCCCTCCTTGGGTTTCCAAGGCAATATCACTACGGAAGTAGATTGCCCAACTGTTCTGGTTCCCTGGTGCCGTTCTGATTGGAATATACCACAAATGGGATGGCCTTAACAAACAGGAGTTTATTCTTACAATTTTGAGGCTTTAAGTCCAAGTTCAGAGTGCAAGGATCTAGGGGCTGGGTGAAAGCCCCTCAACCTTGGGGTCCAGCTCTGCCTCCTGCTCACAGACCACTGGGGCTAGAGGAGTTTCTTCACTCAGACAGCTGCTGCGGCTGAGAAGCCCAAGGTTGACGAGTCAAAAGGCACAGTCCTGATGTTACCAAACCACACGCAGGCCATTGATGTAAGTCCATTGTAAGTCCCAAGGTCGGCAGAGCATGGCAGGCTGCTGAGCAACGACATGGCTACATGCAGGGTCCAAGCGTGCCATAGGCTAGAGACCATTCCCAAGGCTTCTGCTTATATACAGGAAGCAGACCACATCCCAAAGGCAGCTACTCAGCTGCTTGT